ATTTGTCCTAAGGGGTGGATCTTACTGTTGAAGAGGGAAGACAAGTTGAAGAAGCAATTGTTGTTCAAGCAAAGGACAAGGTTGAGGTGGTTGAGGCTTATACAAGCCAAGAGTCATATCAAAGATCTCCACCTGACCTTGAGGAACTTTTATAGAAGGACCGCTTTGTGGTCTCTCTTTGCCAAACAAAAGCCACACCGTCATTGATCCCTCTTGGTGGATGCAATAGTAGTCAATCTATGATTTCTTACATGGTTTGGGCAATGAGAAGAGAGAATAAGAGATCTCGAGGGTGGATACTTTTGAATCAAGTACATTAGCTCTCATCACATGTCATCCTACATGCTCGTGACTACAGATTCCACCTCATCAACGACAACCATAACTTCAAAGAGGTTTTAGGCTAGACCGAGACTTATGAACCACGGTTCGACTCATTAAATTACAGAAGCGCTTGTCGGGAGGCAACCCAACCAGTTAGTTGGCATCTATTTCCCTTTTCTCTTTGGTTGAGTTAGCCACTCTTTTGATTTTCGAGTCAATAACTCAACTTGTGTGAGCTTCTGTGTGGTATTCGTGGTTCCACCTACTATTTCTTCCATGGAATGCACATCATGGCCCATCCACCATCCCTCACTCATGATCTGGTAACTTCGCTCTACCCTCATTATCTTCCCTCCATTCATGACAATGCGGGGCATAAGTGTGGGGGTGTTCCATTATATATGTGTGCGAATGAAAGGTGTGAATATGAGTTCTTGGAGCCTAGTCCACTGTCCAAAGTGTTAAAATTTGAGGGCTCCAAGTACATTGTTCCTTGCAATTAACTGCTCAGTTCCTTTGAATTGATAGTCGCCATGGTAATATGCAATAGGGAAGCTAGTTTACCGCTATGGTGGATGTTGGTGCATGAGATGTTCCCCGTCTACTTCATACTCTATTGGTTGATGAGTTGAATAGTTGTGTTAAGACTTGTGATTTGTGTGAGGTTTATGAATATCACCCATTTTGTGGACTTAAAATGATTTGAATAACAAAGGTGCTCAACATGTGTTCTAAATTGAAAAGAGGTCTCACGTGAGTGGCAACTAGTCATAATGTTTAAGTTTTTTGGACAAGAGTGCCATTTTTGAGGATGTGTTTGGAGAGATTCAAATATCTTTCTATCATCCAATCTTCATCTACTACCTTTCATCCTCCCTTAAACACTTGTCCGCCTCACGAGACTTGGTTGAGAAGAGATAGTGTGACTTTGCTCAAGTCGAGAGACCTTTGCTCTTGAAATTTAATCTCACGTGTCATTGTAACACTCTTTTTGCTTCTTGGGCGTGAATTTTGGAAAAAGGCTATAAGTGATATTCGGATTAACATCCAACTTTCACCATTCACTTTGCCATCCTCTCTCCTCTTGCATCACTTTTCCCGCATGGACTAGATTGAGAAGTGAATGTCGTTTCTGCTCTAGTCACGAGAACCAGAGCTCTTGAATTCAAAACAATGAGGTGTTGCACTGCAGAGCAAAATTTAAACTGAAGCTTGAAAGTTTGAGCTTCTTTAAAAGAAGAGCACCTGAACTAAGTTCACAACTTTCAGTGTTTTTGAGAGTATGTTCAGTCACAAGTTGCTTGTCCTAGCTCTAATGTTCGGTTTATCCATACTCGAGGCTAGATTCCTCGCAGGGGTGGTTGGGAGATGTCTTGTCTTCGGTTGACCTCGTAAGTTGCTAGTTGACCCACTACTGATGATCGAAATTGCAAGCTATTGTGGGAGTCTAGTGAGTTGCACTGACTGTCATGTTTTTCTTTGGGACAAGCAAATGGTTAAGTGTGAGGAAGTTTGATACCGTCATGATTATACATGTTTATCTCCTCATTCCTTGGTCATTTGGCTCGGTAATTATTGTTCACTGGCTTATTTAATGTTAGGTAGTGTCTGTTCTGCCATATTTCAAGTCATAGAGTGTAGTGAAAGCTTAGGATCGAGTTCTTGGGCATTTGGTGGATAAAAAGGAGGAAAAGAAGACCCACACTGATGCGCACGACCTTGGGTATGAAAAGCACAAGAGAGGAAAATCTTAGCCCGTGCAAAAATTTTCATGGGTTTTGTCAAATTACATATGCTAGAGGGCCTGTTACACGGGCGGGAAATTTAATGACCAAGCCATGTAATATTCCACCTGTGGGTATAAATGCATGTTTTTGCGTTTTTCTAGGAGGCGAGTTGAGTTTTGGATACCAAACACCTAAGGGACGAACCCCTAGAGGGAGAGCAACTTGGGGACATTCTTGGAGTGAAATTGGAGGATTTATTTAATTATCATTGGAACTCGAAGAACAAGCTTGGAGATGGAGATTGAAGATCTATCATGATTCTACTTGCTTTCTCTTTTCTATGGTAACTTCCCTTCACTTAGGTTTTGAGAAACCCTAGCCATGTTTGTTTGATTGGATGATTGTATGAGTACTCTTTCGTGTTACACTTGAGTTCATATTCAATATATGCATGTTTTAATGTTCAATTCTGCTTTAGTAGAGATTATTGATTATGCTTTGATTCTATGGGAGGGAATACCGATAGGTCAATAGAGCACCATGGATTGAAATGAGGCAATCGATAACACAAGAGTGAGACGATTCCTTGCTATGTACTGAGTGAGAATCTTTCTCAATAGACAAAGTCTAGTGTAGAACACCTTGATCGATTGTTTTAGAGAAGGATATGTCCCTTTAAGTAACTGGATCACGAGTTCCTTGATTGCTTTAATCAAGATTCAAGGTCTATTAGAGAAACGTACTCGTGAAGAAATAGTGAATCAAGCTAGAGATCATCAATCAATTATCCGGCTTGTGGCTAGGAGGAATCATACCTAAGTAAGATCCCAACCTGTAAATTGTAGTCTAACCTAGTTTAGTTTGTAGAGTAATTTAGTTCTTTAAACCTCACTCTAATTTGCTATATAACAAACTAAAGTTGAGTAATAGTAAATCTAGAGACTCGTGTATGTGATATTTTATACTCGTGCCACTATAATGCAGTCCCTTTCATTGGTTACACTTGACCTTTGTTAGGAGTGTAGTGAAAACGAGTCAGTCACATATGAAAAGTCAAAGAATTATGTTCCCATGATTACCCTTTGCACTTAACTGTCTTGGCATGTTTCAATATCCAACAATCATACAAGAAGTCATTCTCAATCAATCCCATATATGAAGCACGAATATGTAATAAAAGCGATAATGTTCAACAAAATAGAATAAAAAACAACCCATCACAATGTACTATCATTAAATCATATTTGGAGCATTTATGGTCCAAAACCCTCAACAACAGGTTCTAGCCACATACGGTGGAAAGGAAACACAAAGAAACCTGACCTCTGAAAATTTTGGCGGTCTTCTAAAAAACTTGGCGGTTATTGGGGGAGGGTGTTAGATCATTGTTTTATGTCATTGACATTATTAAAAAAAAATTAGGACTTGAGTAGCTCTGGAGGCAAATCAACCACTTTATGAAAGTTGCTCCGAATATTTGCTTCTGTTTCTGTTGGGCGGGGTTTGGTTGCTTTTATTTGTTTCTTTGGTTTGTGGTGGTTGGTTTTGGCTCCTTTTTGCTTTGCTTTGTTTTTTCCGGCTTGGAGTGCCTGGTGGCTCTTGTGCCCTTGTTTTTTCGCTTGTTCCTGTTTTGGCTTGGCTTTCCTTTTAACGTTTAATTAAGGGCTAATACCACTACAACACCCGAACTATTCCAAAAATGCCACTTGTGTCCTATTGTTTTCAATATTCCATCTATGTCCTAAACTATGATTCTTTGTGTCATTTGTATCCTGTCGGTTCTGTTGACTGTCAAGTATTAATGGTTGACCAGACGGCTTTTAAAATGATGTCGTATTGCTGCCAACGTGTCTTACCCGTGGCGGACAGGTTGATGCCACGTCAAATGGGAATTTAATTTTTTTATTTTATTTTTACAAATGGGAATTAAAGTTTTTTACCCAGCCTATATTTCTACCCTCTTCCCATCCATCGACCTAATTTCCGATTCTTTCTACCCTTTCTTCTCCTCTACCCAGCCACTTCTCCTCTACCCAGCCAAAGTGTCGAACTTGGTTTGCTCGAGTGTGGCTTTCGAAGAAGAGGACGACGACGACAGGCTTTCGAAGTCGCATATGGAGAAGTAGCGAGGGCGGGGCTTGCGTTGCGTCGGCGCGGAGTGGGTGTCGGGGTAGTGGCGGTGACGAGCCACAAGCAGCTGCGGTTTGTATTTGTGTTGGGGCGAGGTGATTCGATTGTGAAGACCCAAATTGCAATGTCAATCCGCCAGAAAAGAGTCTTACCATCTATCAGGTACATTAATAGTTGATTTTGGTAATTTAGGGTTTCTTTGAATTGGGGATTTAGTGTCCTGTTTTCGTGGCAGTAATTCAAAAATGTCCAGAAGAGGGTCGCAAAGCATTTCGTCGAATTCATCAAACTCACGTACAGTTAAATGCCGGCATAATATACCAGCTTTTCTGAATGTTTCTCGAACAGAACTGAATCCGGGGAGGCAGTTCTATTGCTGCCCTCATTGGCAGGTAAATGAAGTAGTGGTTTGTTATTAATTGTTATTTAGATGGGAAATGATCTCACATGGGTTGCTTTCTACATGGCAGGATGAGGAAGAAAGTTGTCGTTTGTTCATTTGGGCTGATACTCTGAACGAAGACAGTGAAGGTGCTTGCTCCAATGGGGTTGTTGGAGGGAATGAACATATCAGGTCGAACGTTGGTTTGATAGACAATCAGATGGAAAGATTGAAAGAGAGTTTAAGGGTTGCTGAAGAAAAAGCAGTGCAAAGAAAGAAGGCCTTAAAATTGTTGTATGGTGATTTAGCTAGCATTAGAGAAGAGAATGTTAGGTTGATTGGGGATTTAAGGTTGGCCAATACTCGTCTGTTGTGTGTTTTGGTCGTTTTATCAGCCTTAGTTATAGGGTTAGCTATTGTAGGTTTGAATTCCTCCAGCATGTTCTAATCTGTTATTGTTGTAAGCAGTTCTCCTGTTTTCGTGGATCTTATAAGTTGTGCGAACCTTGAATATGTTACTAATCTAATGGCTATACCAGTTTGTGTGTAATACTTATGTAACCAAAATGCAGACAACATCAATTGACAAAACAGCTGCTTTCACATTCACAAAAACATATCATTACCAAGGTACCTGAAATGTCATCCCTTAAGGTACCTAAAATGTCGATCCAATGTTTAGGAAATATACACCATTTCCATGGATCTACAGGTAACCTACCACAAAAGGTGGATCCAACTTCAATGTCACATCTTAAAACGAATACCACAGATATGCTAGAGGTAGGCTACTATACAAAAACACATTCTACTGCTATCTAAACTACTGCCGAGGTTGTGAAGGTTGCGTGGCAGGTGGTTGATACCCTTCAGCTTCTGGCCATGCCTGCTGGCCTTCCAAAGTAGGAATGCCATGTCTGTAGGCCATCTTATACACCTCGACCTTATAATATTGGGTGACAAACATCTCTGGTTCCAACCTCCTGTATTGAAAACATGCAATTGAGTGGTGACATGGTATACCAGTCAACCCCCAATAACCACATGTACAAGATTTGTCTTCAAAGTCTACCACATAACCCTTTCTACCTTCTGCAACCTCGAACTTCTCCCCCAAACCGGGACTAACAACACACATCTTTGCCAAATCTGTCCCAATCTTGAGCTTCTTTTCAATCCTAGGACAGAAAACACTATCAACTCGTTCAATGTTCTTCATTTTGTCGACAAACCTAACCATCAACTTCCGACGAATTCCCTCTAGCATGTCGATAATTCTGTCCTCCCTTTCCTCAAGGATATAACCGTTAAATGTTTCACATATGTTGCTCTCTACCGAGTCACACCTTGGTATGTGGCTCATGAAAGCTCTGTAGAATGTGTGTGGTTCTTGGTCCAGAAAATCCTTATGCAAGCTAGGATCAACCCCACTAGTCTGAATGTATTTCATCTTCTTCAAATGAGCATTATATTCAGGAATATTCGTGGCATATACTGCTGCCCAGAAGAGGTCCCGATGCTCCTTAACTCGATGATTGACCTTCCAGTTGGCAAAAACATGTCTTGCACATTTCCTTTGTGAAGCTTCAGGTAAGCAAGTGCTTATTGCTTGCACTAGTCCCTAAGAAAACAAACAGCCCAATAATGAGTTAGTGAAACATCATGGATCATAAAAAACACATAAAACTCATTGAGGGGTATGTACAATACCTTCTGTTGATCAGATATGACAGTCCATCCACGACCATCAGTGGTCCAAAGGTCTTGTTGAAGTATTGACACGAACCACTTCCACGAATCACTGTTCTCTCCTTCTACAACAGCCCACGCAATAGGGAACATCCGATTGTCACCATCTTTCCCAATTGCACTCAACAACATCCCAGTTACTTCCCCCTTAAGGAAACACCCATCCAAAGCGAACATAGGACGACAGCCCCTAGTAAAACCCCTACTTAATCCACTGAACCCTACATACAGCCTCTTGAAAAGCACACGTTCAGGAATAGAACTTGGGTCAACCTCAAGTATGAAGGTTCCAGCAGGATCTTTCCTCTTCATTTCTGCCATATAGGACCTGACCTTATTGTACTCTTCAACCAATGAGCCACCCAACATCCTCTTCGCATAAATCCGAGCCCTATAGCATTGCCTCCTGGATATCTGAACGTTGTGTGCTTGCCTTATTTCAACCATCATGTTCTTTACCTTCCAATTTGGCTCCCTTCTGAATCTGTCGAGATACTTTTTAGCAGCCCAAACAGCATTTGCAACCTTCATTCTCACAGACCTAGGACATGTGTGATCCTTTCCTACATTCTTGATCATAAAGCAAGAACGTTCATGCCAGCTTCCATAAACGTACCACCCGCAGTTGTTACGGCATTGAGCACGCTTCTTTTGCTTGTCACTCCTAGTCCATCTCATATCAGCTCCAATGGCAATGCAATGGTTTTCAACGGCCTCCTTGAACTGCTCGGGGTTGTCAAATGTCATGCCCACAACCAACTTAAGGGTTGAATGGTCACACATAGGGTCATATCGAGGTCCGTTTTCTAGAGGGCTACCTTTGTCTTCGTCATCAATGTTCCCCCTCACGTGGCGTGACTCAATTGAACCCCGGTAGGCTGAATCTTCCACAACCCTGTCCCTCAAGTCCTCGTTATCAACGTCATCTGCAACAATGGTCTCACTATTACCTCTGCCTTCATCCACAGGTGGGTCACCATCAACAAACAATGACTCTTGCTCTACCTCCTCCCCAGTTTGATCAACACGAGTACGAACTCGTCGTGGTCTGACTCCTTGCTCCTCCATTGCATCAATGAACTCATCATAAGAAGTACGGATATCATCATCCATGAGATGGATAATGTCTCGGTTTTGTGAGTTATCCCCATCCTCCGAATCACCATCATCAGATAACTCTTCTCCAAGTTCTTCATTGTCCCCGATTTGAGTTTCTATTGCTTCCATGAATATCACAATTTTTCCATCTTCTATGGCTGGGAGCAAGCCATCCATCACCTCACTATCAGACCGTATTTCAACTAGACCATTATCCAAAGTGTCGGAGGGTGCCATGTACCACAGCCTCTCAACCCTTGCATAATCGAAGTGGACTGTTCCAATTTGTTGGAGTTGGAAGAACGAGACATAATCTATGTCCATGTCAACAGCCTCTGACTTGCCATTTATGTAGCGAATACCATCATCAGAATATTCCATTTTCCCACCATGATGGACAATCAACTCCACCAATGTCGACATCCTGCATAACCAAACAATCCCCATTTAACAGTAGCCTAAATTCATCGAATTTGAGACATTAAGCATACTTTAACCACCCCTGATAATCTATTCCGTAAAGCATTCCACAAAGCATTTGACTCAGTTACTTTCCTTCTGGAAGACCACAAAACTGATTCCCATCTCAATTGAATAATCCGAACCAAGAAAACGACTTCTCAACAAACAACGTAAATGACCAATACGTACTAATTTCACCCATATCATACCTGTTACTGAAGTTTCCAAAAGGGTAAATGAGTCTTGACACTGTTCTCGTGGTCCCTGTTTTTCAACCTTTTCCCAGAGAATCTCGAGCTTTAACACCAGCGAAGCAGCTACGCCATTTACTCCTGTGTACTATTTCTGGCACCTTCTTTGCTTCCCAACCACCCAGTCACCCTTCAAATACTTCCAACACTCCAGAAAAGACACCACAAAGTATCGAAGAGAATCCCTAGAAAAATTGGGGGAAACTCAAATCCCCCAAATCCGCGCCTTCTTCTTCAAATGGCTGCTCGAATCCTTCAATGGTCGACGATTTGAAGGCTGCGAATGTTCCAGGAGATGTCGAGAAGAAAGAATCGGCGATGGTGGTACAGGGCTCGATCTTCGTCGGACAGAGGAGGCTGAAGAAATCGCCCTCCCCTCGAGGAATCGATCGATCGCGCGCTTTCTGGACAGAGGGCCTTCACCAGCGCCGAATCGAAGGCCCCATGCTCGGGTAGAGGAGAATCACCAGCGCCGAATCGAAGGGCCTTCACCTTCTTCGTCGGGAGACTGTTTAGGGTTCTTCCTCACATTCGCTCAATTCTCTATCTTTGATAGTAGGATAAGGTAAATGTGGTGGGTGAAATGGCCGGCCAAAATTTACCTTCTAATTTCATTTTTGTTTTTTAAAATATGAAATAAATAAAAAGCCACGTCGCAATTAGAAAGAGCCACGTTCGCTTACACATCAGCGCTGATCTGTCATTCCGTTAAAATTTAACGGTCAACAAAAGTCAACGATAACAGAATCATAGTTCAGGACACAGATGGAATATTGAAAACAATAGGACACAAGTGGCATTTTTGGAATAGTTCGGGTGTTGTAGTGGTATTAGCCCTTTAATTAATAAATTTCACCCTTATAAAAAAAAATTCAAAATTAGGATTTCTAGAGTTTTTATGGAGAAATCTCTCTAATGGGATCTTTTGTGACTATCCTTTTCTTGGTACCAAAGAGGAAGGCTTGTGGTTGTTAAAAGACAAGTTTTGGCTTTTTTTTTTTTTTTTTTTTTGCGGTGATCTAGTTGGACCGCCATGTAATAACTCCATTCACGCCTCTGACATGGGGAGTTGGAAATTAAATTGGAGGGACATGAGGAGCTGGCAATGGTTTCGGTGCACCCTCCCTATCACGAACCCTTCTCTTCAGTTCAATAAATTAACGATCCTTCTTCGCCCGTAAATTGCACCATCAAAGCCATTCCTCCCAACCTCAATACCTCCCATCAGTACTGCTAACTCTCAAGACCAGGAGTTCATCCCATCATCATCAAGCTCACTCCCTCCTTCCGTCCGCCAACCTCTAGCTCATCGTCGCCATCATCGTCATCACCGGAGGAGGAATGTGCGACCCATAGCTACCGACTTCGTATCTCCCATTCTCTCTCGACCAGTAGGTAAGCAAAACGAATCCCCTCGCCATTCAAGCTTCAAGGCTACATAACTAACAAACAAATGGTCTTTCTACGGTGTAGCTTCGGCGGCGAAAGAGCGGGGTGACCAAACGACGATCCAAACAAGGAACTGAGGTCCTAAGGCTTCCTACCTAGGCCTAGACTCGTATTAAAGGTAAGGAAGCTCAATCCCTCTCGCTAAAAGCACCATTTATGCGAGTTATGCGACTTTGTAGAAATCTGGGAACTTAGCGACAGAATTCCAGGTCTTTAGCAACGGATATGTGGTCGTCGCTAAAGGCCAGTCAGTGAGTAGAACTACCAGACCTTTTGAGACGGATAGCAGGGGTATTTCGTGACAGACTCAATACCCGTCACTAAAAGAGCTGCAACTTTCACGTACTAATTTTTCTAAGTTAATAAGTGTTAATTATGTAATTCAAATGGGATTAATTATAATTGGTTTAATAGGTACCCTATTCGTGTGTATGGATTAGGGTGTTAATAACTTAGTGGTTAATAAGACGATTTAGTTGGATTAGTTTAGTATTTGATTCATAATGTGATGGATGATGTTGTTATAAGGGACTTTCAAGCAAGTTAATAGGCAAAGACCATTTAAGCTATGAGTTAGCAAATATTCGTTTCAACCGGTAGAATATTATGATGAGTTAATTAGAGGAAAATATGGTAATTAATTGGGTAAGAGAGTTATTCTAATCTAAGTAGTTGATGAGTAAGTTTATCAATTTTGACCCATGAGAATAATATTAGAGATTAATCTATTGGTTAGTAAGCTAAGTTAATTGATCAACTAATTTGTAGGAACGCAAGTTGAATTAAGAGACCCAATTATCATTAATTAATTTGATATTGTTCTAGCAAGCCCGTATACTTTGTACATATTGCAAAGTAGTTCTAAATTGAGAAAGACATCGCTAAGAACTCGAAACCAAACCGATCAAACTTCGGTGTTCGCCATAGGATCAAGAGGCGAATCACCCAAGCAAAGGGCACCAATCTTCAAGTTGTAAGCGTCTTGAGTTAATAAGGTGCGTGGTTTAAGGGGGCTAGTTAGTATTCCATTCATAATTATTTATTACGCATGTTATTCGAGTTAATCGGTATGCCTTATACGATATCTATGTGTCGAGTTATGCATTTATGAGATTCATGTTCAAGTTTATAAGCAAGTAAGAACATGTTTTAAACCTCACTTAGCTAGCCGCACATGGTCACCTCATGTTATGATTAAGGAGGTTACGGACCCTACTCCTGGGTAATAAGGAGGTTACGAACCCTACTCCTGGGTAATACGATCATGTTTAAGTATTTCGGTGATCGTGGTGGCGTGCTAGTTAAGTTGAGCTCGAGGCCCCTTTTCGTAAAGAATGTATATTTCAAGAAAATCATTGACAAGTCTAGTAAATATTTTATGCATGAACATTTGCAACCATTTGCATTTTGCTTCATTTCTATATTATGTAAAGAATGGAATTAGAATTAGGACTGACCCCAACGCCCGCATTCAGGAGCTGCTAGAAACCAAGAGCTTGTAGACCACCCACAGGTGCACAGCTGATGTTCATGATGTCATCAGAGGGGTTAGTGACTAAGGAAGCTTCACGAAGGATGTTCGTTAGTGGATTTGAGACGGATGTTCGCTTTTCCTGATTAAGGATGTGTTTCCCTTTTAAATTCATATTTGATTGATGTGATATTTCTACTGTACTTTTCATATTGAACATTTTGTGGTTATCAAGGATATTTTGGTAAATTATGTGCCCGGCCGGTCTAGGGTGTTACATATTGGTACCAGAGCAGGTTTTCCTTTGTCTTCACTTTTAAGTGAGATACTGGGAAGTCGGTCTCCATGTTTTTAACAAGCTCGGAATGTTTTAAAAACTTTTTAACAAAGTTTTCATGGAAACCAAAATTGTTTTAGAACATCCAGTCTCATCTACTAATAAGCACGATGTCTTCAAGATTCTGACAAAAGTCATTGCCCTCATGTAGGAGTATGATTATGGGAGGCGCTCCGCAAGGTGGTGGTCGACGCCCACCTCCAAATTATGTCGCACTCAAAAAAATGGGAGTCGTTGACTTTGAGGGATCTTCTGACCCCGAGGTGGTTGATGCGTGGCTTTTGAAGCTCACCCGAACCCTGGATGAGCTTTGTATCGACAATGATAAGGATAGGATTGCCATGGCGGTACACGTACTCCAGGGGACAGCAAGAGATTGGTGGCACCTCCAACCAGAAAGTGAAGAAGTACCTCTAGAAATCACCTGGAATCGATTCATAAAGATGTTTCTTGATGAGTATATCCCCGACTCCATTCGAGATGACAAGAGAGAAGAGTTCATGAAATTGAAGCAGGAATGGGGGCAGACTGTCACTGAATACACTGAGCAATTTAAGAAGTTGTGCAAATATGTTGATCCCGCATACCGAACAGTAACAGGGATGCGAGATCGCTATATTCGAGGCTTGAAAGCAGAAATTAAGAAATGTATGGGAGAAGCGGAGAGGGTATCTCAATCCATAGCTTATCGGGCTGCCCTTCACACCGAGAAGGATGAGAAGATGGCTCAGGAAGAGAGGGCTGCTAGATTCGATGTTCGGAAGAGGAAAGAGTCCACCTACTCGGGGAGCCAGACTCTCTCAACTCACCCTTCTAAGAGAGGACCTGGTTCTACCCTCCTTCCCATAGCAAGGCAGACTCTAACAGGAGTGCACCCACGCAGTACCAGACACAGTACCTGCTCTGTCAATTTTGTGAGAAGCATCATCCGGGGGAGTGCAGGTTCAAGCTAGGCCTCTGCTTTGGATGTGGTCAGTCGGGGCATAAAAAGGCCAATTGCCCATGATTCACGGGACGAACTATGGCGGTATCTGATCCTTCGGTTGGTGGAGGAAGGATGCAATCAAGCGGGAGATTCAATGATAGAGCAGCCACCACCAACAACATCCACAAAAATCGTCGCGACCAGAGTCAAATGCCCAAAGCTAGCGGGCAACCCAGACTCTTTGCTATGGGGAGAGAAGAAGCTAACGCAGCCCCAGAGGTTGTGACTGGTATAGTTTATATTCATAACCGTCCTGCTTTTGCCTTGATAGACCCGGGGTCTACGCATTCCTTTGTATCTACTGCTTTTGCTAGAACCTTAGGGATGGTACCTGTACACCTCAATCAGAATATGGGGTGCGTACACCTGTGGGTGATACGTTGATAGTTAATTCCATAGTCAGAGAGTGCATAGTGGAAGTCGCTGGGTATGAACTGGAGGCAAAGCTTATGTTACTTCCTTTTGATGAATTCGATATTAGCTTGGGAATGGATTGGCTATCCAAGCGCAGAGCGATAGTGGATTGTTTCAACAAGGAGGTTCGATTTGACTTGGAAGGAAGAGGAATGGCTGTTTTCAAGGGGATACGTAGGGCCATTCCAGGAAGTTTGATATCTGCAACCACAGAATTCACACTGAGTCAAGATGGGTGTGAAGCTTATTTGGCTCAAGTTACTACCACACCGGAAGTGAAGCTCGAAGAGGTGGACATTGTCAAGGAGTTCCCAGATGTGTTTCCAGAAGATCTCCCCGGTTTACCCCCAAGGAGAGAGATCGAGTTTGACATTGAAGTGGTACCGGGTACTGCACCAATTTCGATACCGCCGTACCGAATGGCGCCAGTAGAACTGAAGGAGTTGAAGGAGCAATTGCAAGAACTAATGGAAAAAGGTTTCATTCGCCCTAGTATCTCTCCATGGGGAGCCCCAGTGCTCTTTGTCAAGAAGAAAGATGGCAGTATGCTGATGTGTATCGACTACAGGAGGCTAAATAAGGCAACGGTGAAGAACCGATACCCATTACCCAGGATAGACGACTTGTTTGATCAACTTCAGGGTGCCTCTGTGTTCTCTAAGATTGATCTAAGGTCGGGGTACCACCAGTTGCAGGTGGCTGAATACTCTATCCCAAAGACAGCCTTCCATACTCGATATGGCCACTACGAATTCTTGGTAATGCCTTTTGGATTGACCAATGCACCGGCAGCATTCATGGCACTAATGAACAACATATTCCATGAGTACTTGGATAAGTTTTTCATTGTATTCATTGATGACATTCTCATAT